ATCTTGATCCTTCCCTGGTGAAAAAAAGACAAGTATACTTGCAGCCTGACTAATTATCAGAATATTTCAAGTGTGTTAATGATTAGTTAACTTGAAGTGTGCTATTTTGAAACAACTCATTTTGCACTAAGTATATTTTAGTTGTAATGTAAATGGTAAAGCATAACTTTAAGTGTATTTAGTGTACTAAAGTGGACCAACTTTAAGTACGCTTAGTTATATGCCTGTGTAGGGACTAATTACATGCTTGATTAATGATATTAAAGTGTACTTTATTTGTGTTAAGTACATTACACATTCATTATGAGTGTCTTTGAAACATATAAGCAATATACCATAAGTGTATTTATATATATTTTTTCAAATAAAACTTTAAAAAAATAAACTTTTACTTCAAGTATATTTTTCTGAAATGTATTTTTCTAGTAGATTATATTAGATTTAATTTTAAAGCGTGTTAAAACTTGAATTGTGAAATAGGTAAAAGCATGATGCTATACTTTTAATATATCTAGAGATATTAATCAGTATATTTGCAATGCAGGCCTACTATTGAAAAAGGGAATATATTTCAAATACAATAAAGTATACTTTTTTCACTAGGGTTTTCTCGAGTGAACTCATAACAGTGATGATGTCATATGTATTTACTCTGCGACCACTAAAAAGTATGTTCTATGTGTGTATGAATGTAATCTGTATGTACATTCACCATGGCAATATCATGTGACCTACTGTACCTTTCTGTTGTGAATGACTGGGGTTTGAGACTTCTTTACCACCATAACTCTAGAGAAAAGTTTGCACATTGCTTGTGTGATATCCACTGGCTCCCCTTCATGGTTTAAAATTGAATTTTTTCCAATAATTTCTCGCAAAATGATGGACAGCAATTTAGATTTTGCATGAATCAGTTCCAAAGTAAATTGTTAAATAAATTAGTAAATAAACAAGTTTCTTGTCATTTAGAGACCTCATTCAATTTCATTATATACAAAAAAGTTGCCATATTACCCATCCATGAAAGAAAGCCAGTAATTCAACAAAATAAGGTTAAGTAAATAATGACAGAATTTTAATTTGAGTGAACTACTCCTTTAATAAATCATGTGGAGCTTGACGCTTGACAAGCTACTGTTTTAAAGTAGCTTCCTCAACACTAGTTGTCATTTTATTGCAGACTTCCTTACCCTTGGGGACTCAATATTTTAAACAGTGTCGTAAGTCGCAGACTTAATTTCCCATGTACAATTACACTTTCTCTTTAGAGTCTTCAGCCGGGGGCAGAGGAGCTGGGAAAAGCTTTTAATGGAAGAGGGAACGGAGTAATGAAGAGATGGGAGTTATCTCCTCCAACACTCTTCTTTTTCTTCACTGCACTTCTTTTATCTTTCTCATTAGCGGCCTTAGTGTTTGTGTTTTATAATCGTTTACCAATATTACTAATATTTGGAAGACGAGCTGCCCTCTAGAAAGTGCTTGGCAAAGCTTGTTGTTGCTGAGGCAGACTTTTTTGTGTTTTATTATGGAAAACATGAGGAGACTTTGTAATCCTATCAACGTTTTGTATGTAAAACACTTTTCCCCACTGTAGCTTCTTCAAAATTTTGTTTGTGTGTGCGTGCTGCCCAGTCCAACACAGCAACACTGACTTAGCCAATAGCGTGAGTTTGACTATCTCGGGACTAAAGCTGCAGCCTCATTGTCGCCATCTGTGTTTGAAACCTGCAATTGCAGTTATTTGCGTAATTATCATCTTTACGTGGGTTGTGCATTGGCATGGCTGGCTCCTTAACACGGATGAATCTAATGTTGTCACAGATGATTGTCTTTTGAACCTTTCTGAATTACAGTCCACCATCAGTTGCTGTGAGAAAAGGCACAGTTATTCGCCACCTGCATCATCCTCACATGTGACATAGCTTTATCTCCTTCTTTATGTATACAGTTGTGACTGTAAGGCAAAGATGAACGACTGCAAGCTTGTACTATTATTACAGTACATTATCGGGCAAAGGTAAAGAGATCGTTTTCAAACACTGACTGGTTACTTGCTCAAAAATAGCTTTTGGATAATTTTTAACCAAAAAAATATATATTTAAGCAAGGTTTTTAAAGGGGTATTTACTCAAACTCAAGCCAGTGTGGCTTTTATTTCTTCTGTGGAATTCAAAAAGAGATATTTTGACTATATTAAAAAAAAAACAAAGTTACATTTTAAATCAAAATTGTAGTTTTTATCAGAAAAATCACAATTCTATTTATTTCACCAAATCATGCAGCCTTATCATGCAATATATTCCAAGTTCTTATAATCTAGTTTACATTCGAATAAGTTTATATGATCTAGTGTATATTCGAATAAGGTGTGTTTAAGAAAGAAAACCATATATGAGGTGAGTAAATTATGACAGATTTTTCTTTTGGTCGGGAGGTAGTACTGTTCCTTTAAGTGCGAACTATTGGCAATCTCAGGTGCTTTCACTAAACTGGGATCTTGATGAATAAGAATGTGGTTGATTTGGGCAGCGTCCGTGTTGTCGTGGAGTGGAGCTGATCTTGGGGTGCAGTGATGTATGTGTTTGTTGTTCTCTAGCCACGTGAGGAGAATCCCACTGGGCTGAAACCCTATTAGAACCTCAGCACTCAACCTTATCTCATCTGATAAGGCACAGAGAGACACGAGCGAGAACGAGAGCTCTCTAATGCACTTCTTCACTGATAGAGGAGTGAAAAGCAGGGGAGGGGAGAAGAAGGTACGAGAGTGGAGGAATGAGGAGATGAGAGGTCTTCTGTTTAACCGAAAACTAAATTAAATGAGTAAACCCTGTCTAAAACAACCACATATCGACAAAAAAAAAAAGGCTGATCCAGTGTTGCAAAAACAGACATGTAAAATGAATGTCGTCCTTCATCAGTAACCAGATTGCAAGAGATAAAATAAATTTTGATGCAAAAAGACTGCTGCTGTGGGCCGCCCATTTGCCCATAATGGGTAATTTGATCGTCTTTGGCTGAATTTAGCTAGACAGAAAATTATTCAAGGTCCAAATAACCTACAATATTTTCCTTTGAGAGTAGTAAAAAGTCGTTTACCTCCACACGTAAATCAATGAATCCAATTTCGAAATCTGGGCTGTTGGAAAACCTTATCAGTGACCTGATGCAAAGCGAGGAGTGAAGAAAACTCCCTCAAATGCCTTGCACTCGATCAAAAACTCTCTTAATAAATCACTTTTGCTCATTGAATTTTTTGTCATGCATTTATGCCAACATTCGAGTATTTAACAACATGCAGAAGCGAAAAAGATTTCAACTCCCCCCTTCTACAGCTCAAGATAAGCCTATGAGTTATGATGAGCATAAGCACCCTTAATGAACAGTTCACGTAAAAATGAAAACATGCTTGCGGTTTATTTAAACTTTAAACAACTATTTAGATTTGTTGTCACTGACGTCACGGCATGTCTGATATGTATGAACAGGCACAAGCGAGATATCAAATATTATGCTTAAAGGGATAGTTCACTTTGAAATTAATTTTTGATATGTTTTAGCTTACCTCAAGGGCGTCCAAGATGTAGGTGTCTTTGTTTCCACAGTATTTTCAATTTTGATATTTTTCGGTCAAACCGTTCTTGTCTGTGAGTGAGTCATATAATGGAAGTTTATGGGGTCCACCTCAAAGAGCATGCACAGAGAAGTCAAAATTAAACATGATTTAATGACTCGTAAATGTAAGTACACATTGATGGCCTAAGACATGAAACGAGCGGTTTGTGTGAGAAAACGAACAGTATTTATATTGTTTTTACCTTGTGTAACCACAGCCATGTACAACTGATCTGAAGGCTCGGGCGCTTCGGTTTGCGCATGCGCCGGAAGTGATCGCTTGCTCGTGTACGTCACTTATTGTTTACACAGAGATTTCGGAAGTTTTACCTTTCACTAAACATATTCAGATATATTTAGATTCCTGTATATCTAAATACGTTTAGATCTTCACAGTGAGGGGTAAAACTTCCGAAATCTCTGTATAAACAATATTAAAATTGAAAATACTGTGGAAACAAAGACTCATGCATCTTGGATGCCCTTGAGGTAAGCTAAAACATATAAAAAAATTAATTTCAAAGTGAACTATCCCTTTAACTTCAAATCATGAAAATCATATAGGTTTGAAACAATATCATACCTCTATTGGTATAACTCTGTAAGACATTATACATTGTTTATAAGCTGATCTGGAAACTGTTCGCTGCAATAAATTATTTTTTTAAGTTTTTGTATTAAGCTGTAATTTTTATCTTTTTTTTTTCTTTAAAAAAAAAACTTTATCTTAAAAAAGAGAGAAAAAAGTATTTAACCATCAGATCTCAAAATGGGATCTAGAACAGTGGTTCTCAACCAGAGGTCCTCAGTAAACCTTCAAAGGGGAAGCAGAATGAAATAAACGTATTCAAATTAATATATCATTGTTATTAATATTATATTAAATCAATCTAACTTAATTCAAATGGTAAAAAAATCATACATGGTAAAAAAAAACAATATTCATGGTAATTTCATTTTTTTCTTGTCAATACATGTTTTTAATTGAAGAACATATTCAAACGTCTGGAATTATATATATATATATATATATATATATATCACTTAGGTTCTCCTTGATATTGTATAGCATACAAGAAGCAAAAACCTCAGGGAATTGGGATTTCTATCATAGCACTGCCATCTACTGGTCCTTGTGAACACATGCAGCTGCGTAGCACCTGCATTTTCTCATTTGACCTCATCTGTTATAACTAATTCACATTCTAATTACAATTCATGAGAGGAATATGACAATCTGGGCTTGAAGTTGGCTCAGTGAATTGATACTGATCAGAAATGACAGCAGCACTGTTCCAGAACCGCAAAGACAGAGAGGAATCTAAAAGAGCGCAACCAGATAGTTAAACGCATCGGAAATATGAAAGTCCAACAGCATGAAACCGTGCTTATTTAAATATAACACTCCTCTCTGAGATTCAGATTTATTTATAAACCACTCAAAGACACAGATAGAAAATATTCACATTACAGTATACACATTACAAAAGAACATCACAACCTTATCAGGGGTAACAAAGCATTTTAAATCCTTCAAAGCTGATCATGGGTGAAATCAAAACATTGTTGTTTAAAACCTAAATCATTCAAATAGGGAGGCAATTTTTAAAGGCTATATAGGTTTTAAAACATAAATAAATGAATAAATATGGCACTTAAGATGGCACTAATGTAGTGCATCAGAAAATATCCCTTTGAAGGGGTTTCTTAAAGGGATAGTTCACCCAAAAATGAAAATTCTGTCATCACTTTCTCACTCTCATGTAGTTTCAAACTCGTATGACTGACTTTCTTCTGCAGAACGTAAGGAATTTTAATGAAATGTTTTTAAGAATGCTCCGGTTGCTCGTTTTCATGCACCGAATGGAAACAAAGCTTTCAAGCATTTAAAATACCGGTAGTAGACACAAAAGATTCATAAAAGTGGTTCAATACGACTGATTGTATAAAAAGAGTGGCTAAGATATTCTTTAGAAATTCTCCTTTTGTGTTTGACAGAAGATAGAAATTAATACGGGTTTGGAATGACATGAGTGCTTGAAAAAAAAAAGAAAATCTTTTATGAGTGAACAATTCCTTTAACGTGTACAGAACAATCTCCTCATAATGGGCATTAAACAAACTCTCTGATTAACACATGCACACACAGATCTTCACACAGACAGGCACTCACGCAATGAGGGCTGTAGACATGATTCTGATTCACACGGCTGTATGCCATTTTCCAAGTTCTCCCGACAGCCTCCTGTTCAGTTTTTGTGCTGCTTAAACATCAGTTCTCCAGACAACACCATCTCTGTCATGCTCAGCTTGTGGCCAGAATGATGCCAGACGTCTGTTTTGAGCATTTATTTGCATTGCATACCCATGGTGGACTCACATATCCATGTCCCCATCATATGCCAGAGCCAGTGCTTTCTGCGGACTGCTGCTGGGACTGTCCACTGGGTTCTTACTGAAACGCAAAACATGTTTAAATATGTATAAACTCACTAAACTACCTAAGAAACCATTTGCATCATGATTTATTGCAGTTTAAACTATCACCACCAGAGTGCAGAACAAACACATTTCATCTATGACATTTACCAACAATGAGGGAGTCATAAATGATATGCCAGTAGTTTATTTATGGGATAATGCCCATTCTGGCAGTCATTATCTTAAACTAAACTGACGGGAGGTTGATTAGGACCCTGACTGTTTTATTATGTGAGAAGAAAGAGACCATAGAGTGATATGAAGCACATTAAACTAGCACAGCCATGTAAAAATCAGCCTCACCACAGTAGGAAGGACATCATGATGAGGAGGAGGATCACAACAAACCCAGCTGCCATCAGCCCATATACCCACAACTTGACTCGCCCATCTGTCAGTCAAAATAAACATGAACATTTACAAAGCATGGCTCAACCAAAGCATTCTGGCTCTCGACCCCCAGCTGTCAATCAAACAATTCATCCAATAGAGTGCTGCAGGGATGACGTATTTTTCTAGGCCAAAACCTGGAAACCAGTTAGTATTTTGGCACTTTCGGTTAAACATTTTTTTTTAACGAGTTTTTGTTTAAATAGGCTCTGTGGTTAACACAGATATTTTTTTATTCTCTGACATAAAATACGTGATAATTGTTTATTTTTTTGTTTTTTAAAGCGTTTACTTGTGCTAACAAGTGTCTAAATGGAAGTACAGTCTCAAAGCTGGTCACCGAGCTTATTTTCTGCAATAATTCAAAAGCCAATGGAAAACTCCTATTGGGTTTGTTGTCGAGGTTACCGGGGTGATGCTAACTTCTACCTACAAGAATACATCACCACTGAATTAGGCGTACACTGTTTTACAAAATTTGTTATCACAACATATTTTCTTTTGTCAAATCAACTTTATAATAATTTATTTAGTTCAGATAACATATAATTTTGAGTTTCTGATGATTAAATAATTCTCCTTCATTGTATTAACTCACTTTCCAGTTCAATGAACTTAAAATTTTAAGGCAACCAGGTTACTTACTTTTTTAAGTTAAACCATTCATAATTTTTTTTTACAGTGTATGGTTGTTGTTAGCACCTGGTCCAAGAGGCTGTAGTGCCCAGTCCTTGATGAGGTTCTTGTTCCGAGTGTGCTCTGGTCTAAGACGTCCTGCGAGGGTTTTTACATCTGCCTTCTTATGGTCCAACCCTGGGGTTCTGGTACAGTAGTCAAGGAACCCATGAGAGGTCATGACCTCTGTGAAACCCTTCTCGCAACCACAAACTCCATTCTGACAGAAAGACAAGAGAGATTCTCGTAAAACATAACATCGGGTGGGCTGGATATTAAAATGTGCTACGATCTTATGGAGACGTACAGCTGTTAATTGCAAGGCATCAGAGGGAGTTGTGATATATGACAATAAAGGGTTTTACATCTCATCATAACAGAGTGAAACACTGCCGTGAGTCAAATGATACCACACTTAGTAAACTCAGCATCTGTCAAAGCTCATTTTCCTTATAAAAACAATGTCATTAACTTTCACATAATTATCATCATTATTAATATACATATTTAAACCACCCCCAAATTTCCATTACTGTGATGAAAAAAATGTTTAACTGTAATGCATTTTTGAAATACAACAATGCATCTAAGCAAATAAGACAATATTTTTAGAATTTAAGTTTTAATTTTAGTTTAAGTTGTAATAATTTTGTTTTTATTTTTATTTATTTAATTTAACCTTTATTTAATTTTGTTTTTGTTGTAATAATTTTGAACATTTGTCATTTTTATTAATGTTTTTAAATTAATAATTTTTTATTTATTTTTGTTTTTATTTTTCAAGTTTAAGTTTTTGATCTAATATTTATTTTTATATTTAATTTGTAGCTAATTTGTAACAGTTTTACTTTTAGTTAACAATAACAATGAGGATGCAAGAAAAGCCAAATGTGCATTTTTAAAATAACATTTTTTTTTTTTTTTTTGGTGTTTGGTGGTTTTGAGATGAAATAGGACCTGAGCATGTTCAGCAGCCGGGATAATGAATCAGATCATGCGTGTTCAGTGTTCTGTGTTACCTGTGTGCAGAAGGAGAAGGGTTTGTTGCAGGGAGGGTGACACTGCCGTACCGCAGATGGCTGGTTCTGAGAGATGCAGCCTCCTAATGTAGAGGAACACTGATTACATTAAGCCAAAATGAAAATTAATGGTTGTGTTTTTTCCAAGTCCTTTCCAATACCAAAAAGAGTATGAAATAAGACATGAATTTGCTTCCTTATAATACTATTTTGAGGATGAATGCATTGATAGTGCGCACCCGTGACGTTGACTCCGTCAGAGCGCTGGCACCACACCAGCCTACGGTTATGCCTCCACTCACCCGTCATCCATTCATAACTAAGACACGTTCCTCCTGGAAGAACAGATAAAAACACACTAGAGTGCTGTTCTGGTTTAGTGGCTTCCTGTTCATCACTTCTCAGTCAGAGCTATTTTCTCAAACAGAGAGGAAATAACAACTATGAAAAACAACAGCTTGGAACGATCCAAAGGAAAATTGCACAAACCAAAAAGAGTCCAAGTATTGTGTTCTTTTGAATGTGGTATTGGTATTGTGTTCATGACAAAAAAAGCATTAAACTGCTTATGTTTTTTTTTTTCCACCACTATGTCTTCCCACAAACCTTGGCATGGCCGTGTCTCATACATCTGGCTGGGACAGGAATCTTGGTTCTCCAGGACTTGTGTGACTACGGCTCTAGAACGAGCCTGTCGACCCCACGTCTCAAAACTACGCCCATCCAAACACAGTAGCTGACATGAACTCCATGGTGACCACTTGGTTAGGTGACATTCTCCTGACGTGCGAGACAGAAAATCCAGCCAGTGAGCTTCTAAATTACATTTGAAAATATATTCAAATAGAAAACCATTATTTTAAATTGTAGAAATATTTCACAATATGACTGTTTTTACTGTATTTTTAATCAAAGCCTTGGTGAGCATAAGAGACTTCTTTCAAAAAAAAAAAATCTTTTGAGTGTGGTACTTGTGTTAGAGATGCAAACCTGGACAAGGGATTGTGCAGGGCTGCAATAACTCCGTCTCACTGACTTTGCTCTGTGAATTTCCGACACACATCTTATCATCCACCGGAACGGGCTGAGGAGGACCTGAAAGAGAACCCCAATGCACCACACAGGATATTTCCCTCCGACTTACTCCCTCGCCACAGTCAGCGCCCTGCAAAGAGAGAGAAAGATTACAGACAGAGCCGATCTGAGCTGACAGCATCTGTCATGTTCATGATGTTATACTGGGCAGTTTAGATGTATTATGTCTTTTCTGTGTGAAGCTGAAATACTTCAGATCGTTTATTTTTTCTTGAATTCTGTTATTTAGAAAGTGTGGGTAGAAAGAAACCACTCTAGATTTAGCCATAATATAATTGGCTCATAACACCATGATGAGGCCTCCGCACGGGCTTGTGTCCAACATGATTCACAGCCAGAGAGTGTTTCTGATCTGTTGTGTTCTGATTGGCTAAAAAAAAGTGTTTTTTTGCTGCTTACAGAACCTGTCAGAGACACATCTGATTGCTCAGGACACCTATTTCAATGGTTTTGTAGAGACATTGTGTAAAAATGCACCTTTAATTGGTAGCCTTTATTCTAGAGAAACCTGGACAAGGGATTCACAATTTCGTATCATTTTTTTATTTATTTATACCTAAAAATGTATTAGGTTTGTATTAGCATTTGTAATTGTGTATTTAACCCCCCCCCCCCCCCCCAAAAAAAAAAAAACAAATAAATAATAATTTTACTTTAGTTTTTCAATTCTTTACAGCCCCCCAAAAATGGTATTTTTTTTTTTGTGTACTTTTTACACCTAAAATTATATACTTTTTTAGATCTAAAATTACTTTTGACGTACACTACCAATTAAGAGTTTGGGTTTGGTAAATATTTGTAAAAAAATTTTTTTGAAGCCTCACCAAGGCTGCATTTATTTGATCAAAATTACAGTAAAAACAATATTGTTAAAAACATTAATTTTTAGCATAATTATTCTTCAGTCACATCATCCTTCAGAAATCATTCTAATATGCTGATTAATGCTCAAGAAACAAATAAAATGAGACAGAACTCTGCCAGAGCTGTTTATAGCGGCATAGCAAGGATAATTTGATCTCATATGAGCTCAGGGGAAACCCTGTTATGATGGGCTCACTTTGACAGTTTAATGGAAAGTAGTAGCCTTTAGCTATGTGAACATCTTTGGTCTGTGCATTTGTGTTGGCAAAGGACAATGTCTCAGTGGCATCAGCAGTTTGTTTTAGTTTCAGGCGCACTGCATCAAAACTACCTCAACCCTGCATGGTCTCCAGTCCCCCCATCTCCAGCTGTAGCAGGGCTTAATGGGACAGGGGCGGGTCTGGGAGAGTTGAGATGGACAGGGACGACCTCCCTCACTAGCAGGCTGCAGAACGACCCTGGAACGTGTCATTTGACCTGGAAAATTAACACACAGCAAGACACAAACACATGATATCAGGACCTGAAGTCCAGTGTGAGCACTGTTTTCATGCTGAAATTTGATAAGCGCTCTGGGAAGAGTTTACTCGTGGGACTGGCAGAGCCTAGGATGAAGATAAATGAGACTGATAATAGATTTTAATTAAGCCCCTAACAACAGCTGAGTTCAAGGAAGCATGACTGAAATCTCAAGGGTGTAAACATACAGGTGTGTTTCTAGATTCATATTTACTGGCCAAGGCTAAAAAAGGAAAGCAGAAAAGCACCAATAATGTTTTAATAAAATTTAAAAAATCCAATTATTATTATTATTATCATTGATTTCTTGGCTAGTTTTAAAAAGGAACGCACCACTTGTGTTTATATAAAAAAAAAACTAATTATAAAACTTGCTTTATATATATTTATTAATATTAAATTATTTAATTACTATTATTATTAATAATTGGCCAGTGTTGAGAAGGGAAGCACTCCTTGTTTTCTTCAAAAAAATTTTTTATATTATTATAAAAAACTAAATTGAAAAAAATCCAATACATAAAATAAAAAAAAAATAAAATAAAAAGCGAAATATTTATAATTATTATTATTCATATAATATTAACAATATTATTATTATATAAATTGGAGATCATACTTTGGCTTCCACAGGTGTGTGAACATTCTGACCAGGTGGACCACTCTGTAATCAGGCAATTAACAGGGCAGCCCACCTCACAGGGGGCAGAGAGCTTTCCACGTGAAGGACCCAACTAGAAAAGATAAGAAACCAATAAAAACATTGGATTCCTATTGGGCATTTATTGTGAAAGAATTCCAGTGAGAAGAACAGTCACCTCTTTGCACATGCTCAGTTCCACCAGCTTCCCATCGCTGCGGACACAGTTCAGGAGTCGAGTCTTAATCCCCCGGCCACACACTGCGTTTTCACTGAGCTGACAGCTACTCCAGTCTTCAACACACACACACACATACACACATTTTACTCTCTGCACTACACAGAACAATTTTTGGCAATCTGTAAATTGTGATAGAGTGAACCAGTGGCGAGGCTACATTCGGGCCAGGATGGCACTGGTCCTCTCAGATTGATGGCTGGTTTACCCTATTAAATGAGACACCAATAGTTTTTTTTTTGTGGGAAAGAATAAAAATTCTGCATACATGACAATAATCACTAAAATATATGAACATAGGAACTAATTACATGTGTAAACATGTAAAGAATAAAGCAAGAATCAATAAGATCCTGGTGGATGAGTGCTAATCTTCCAGTTGTGTAATTCTATATAGAGAATGGTAAATGCTAGTTCTGTCAACATGAGTGATCAAACAGTCTCTGATCGGTCTTTACTCATCGCCCCTATCCACTAGGCTATACCTGACATCCAAGCTCTGTTCGAAATTGTACTGTTGTCAAATTACGTTAGAAAACATTGCATCATCGTCATCATCGTGACGCAATCAGAACATAGCTTTAGCAAAGCAGTATGGAATACCTATATGAGAATGATCTCAAGATCTACGTGTCGTGTTATGTTGTGTATGGGCTCGTTTGAATTGAGAACACCTGCTCAAAATAAATATGTTTTCTATATGGTTCACTAATGTTTGGTGAAGCTAAACCAAAATGTGGCCCAAAAGCCACATGTGTATACTGTTTACATTTACTTGATATCGATCTATACCTAAACAATTATGCTTGATGTTTTCTGTTAGTTGAGACCTTTTCAACGATATATGACACTAACTGTCATGCATGATGCTCAACAGATCACGTTTACATTTTTATTTTCACTTTTGGCATATATCATATAAAATTTGCATCTATATTTTTATCTCATGTATTGTAAAATGATGTACTTCAGTTTGAGGGTACTGAGGTTCACCCTGTTTCACCAAGGTCCACTCACTTTAAAATGTCTGGCCTCGCCACTGGTGTGAACGTTTGTTACAGTACCTGAGTAAACGTAGGAGTATTTGAGACAGGTCATATTGATACAGGATTGAGTCTGGTTTAGATCAGGGCAGGAATGATCTCCTTCTGGCCACCTCAAAACAGATCCTACTCCTCCACCTCAAATCACCAGCATTACAATCCTTGGGGAATGCAGACATCAATCACACCAGTATAGCATCATGCATATCCTAATAGGGAGTTTTCATTCATTGTGTTTACAGTAATGCATTTACAACGGAAGTCTATATTTTTATTTAAACTCACCCCAAAACTGTAAGTAGTTTAATCTTAATTATAATTATTGTAGTTAGTTATTTTAATATTTTTTTGATCATTGGCGTTGGAGTAAAAAAAGTTGTAATTGTTGTAAGTGGATTTTTCTCTATGTAAGCAGTTGAGTATCAAGATAAAAATGACAGGCTTTAGGATATATTTAATAAAACAGGTTAGTTAGCAATTCTACCCCATTTGTGTCATATTAAGAAGTATAATTTTAAAGTCATGTGGCTATAATTCAAAAACAATGTGCATTTTATTCAGATGCGATAACTTGCACCCAAGGCGTCCATTTAAATGCATCACTGTAATAATTAATGTAATGCTTGTTTTTGCTAATGTAGGGACTATATAGCAACAAGTGCTAAAAATGCATATTCAAATCAATGCACCATTAGGCAATTTTAGAAATGAATTATTATTTACTTTTTGCACCTATTTTTTGTGGGAACTTTCAACCTTTCAAGGAATATATTGTATTATTATATAAGTAATAAATGTTCATTTTAGTCATCCCATCATGACAAGCTTCCCTCCATCCTGACATTTTATTATCCATTCATCTGCCCCTCCACCTATTCATCCATCAATAAAACTGACCACGGTACATTTGCTCCACTGGCTCCACTCTGATGTCACACAGTGGGCGGGGCACGGCAGTAGACAGGTCTCAGCTGTGATTGGCTGTTCCTCCTGGGCACATAGTGAGTCATCCACAACCTCATCCTGGTTTTCTCCTCCCCTTTTCAAGCAGCTTTCAATCAGGGACAAACAAAGGTTTTTTTTTTTTACAATTTAAATGAAACTATAAAGAGCCTAAAAGTCAGACGTGGTCTAGGGTTTTTGTGGCACCTCTCAGTCAGGGTGAGAGCACAAATAGAACCAGAAAACATTGTTGTTCAGTTATAACATTACCCATAGTATCCCATCATCCCCTCCTGACCTCACTTTAGACTGAAGGGCAGAGTTATGACCTCACTTATCTTTAAAAAGAAGAGTTATGACCCCATGAATCTGTTTGGCACTGTTGTGACCTCTCCTCGTTTCTGAACGCTGACTTACGAGACAATTTTGCTGTGTGACGCACACAGGATCTGTTTTATCATTTTACAACAAAGGTAAAACACAATATATTGTGCTGCTGTATTGTGGCAGAATGGGGACATTTTAAAAAGACATTCTCAGTACGAGACATAACTTCTTTTTAATTCAACTTTTAAAGAGATAATTGGCTCATTTAAAGACTAAGCGTGATAAACTCACTGGATTTTGCAGGTCCGGAAACCCTCTCCACATGAAGCCTGTGTCGATCCAGTGTTTGTGAGATTGTTTGGTGGGGTGATGATGCACATGGAGCAGGACTCCACTTCCCACACATACTGACTGCAGTCAGAGTAACAGGGAAGTACCTCAGACACCTGATCACAGACAAGATAGCTATGATTTTAGTTATGGCAGCATGCACACAAGTGTATGTTGTGGATCTCTGTGTATACAAAGTATGTACTGAAAAAAAGATAACATGCTAATATTTATACGGGCAGACACACACACACACACACACACACACGCACTTTTAAGGACAAAATATTACACACACACACACACACACACACACACAAATCTCAAGGGTACTCACCTGAGCCTTTGTAGATATTCACATCAGCAGAACATGACCAGCAGCAAAACCACAAGAAAGAAAGAGGAATGAATGGGGAAAAGAAAGAGGAAAGGAAGGGGAAAAGAAAGGAAGAGGATATAAAAGGGGAAATGAAATATGAATAGGAAAGTGGAATGGGAAGAGGAAAAGTAGTGCAAAGCAAAGGTAAAATAAGAAGTAAAGAAAGGAAATACAAATAAAGGAAAACAAAGGCAATAAAAATAAAGGGAAGGGTGAGGAAAAAGAATTTGAAAAATGAAAAGAAACAAATGTATAAAGAAACGGATATGAAAGAAAGGAAGAGGAAATTAATGGAGAAAGGAAGAAAAGAAAAAAGGAAAGTACCAAAATAGGAAAGTAAAGCAAAGGAAAATAAGGAAATAAAAAAGCAAAGGAAATAAAAAGAAAATAAGGAAATAAAAAAAGCAAAGTAAATAAAAAGAAAGGAAATTTAAAAAATAGGGGAAAGGAAAGGAAAATGGAAATGAAATGAATAAGATGAACGGGGAAGGAAACAGAAAAGGAAAGTAAATGAAAAGAAAAGGGAAAGAAAATGGAACAAATGCATAGAGAAAAGAATATGAAGAAAAAATTGAAAAAAGTGGAAAGTAAACGTAAAGCAAAGGAAAGAAAGGAAATTAAAAAAAAATGGGGAAAGGAACAGGAAATGAAAATAAGAGGAAGTGGAAAATAATAGGGAGAGGAAGGAGGAATAGGAAAGCAGGAAATTGACAAAGGGAAAGAAAAGGAAATCATTTCTATTAGTTTCTACTGGAAGATGTTTGCCCCCACTGTAGATTCGTTATTTAGTGGTTCATTTATATGAGGGAAACTGAGCTGAAGGAAATGCTTGCTGACTCCAGTTCAGATCCATGAAACTTTAATGCTGGTTGAGCTGCCCTGATGGAAAATAAAATAAAGTGAAATAAAAGGAAAAAGAGCAAAAAAGATGGGGGGATAAGAGGTTCAGTCCCCGGGGGTCTTGATCCTCTCCAGTCTTGTCTTATGTAGTTGAGAAACAGCTGAAAGTGGGCAGGCAGGGCAAGACCCCCAAAGCCAGACCAGATGAATAATACATCACACACACACTGCCTTGTCCTCTGTGACTCCCGCTCACAGATGAACAAACACTATTCATGAATATATGAACACATACAATTGAAGCACACAAGTGTGTGCATGTGTACAGCATGTGATATTTTTTTAGGCTATTTTAAATAGACTGAACTGCTCCCATGTCAATCTCATTTGTAAATAATGCTAAATGTCTCTGGATATTTAAAGTTATCAGAACAACTCGTCTTCTGGGGACTACGAGAACAATAAAATCAAATGAAATTATCCTCTATCTAATTGTAAACCTATTCTCACCTGATTTTTGTAATTGAGTTTTGGGCAGGGTCGACCTCCATTGAAAGGCTTCTCTCGTAGCCACTGAGAGCGAACTTTCACACCCCCACCACAGGAGGCGCTGCAGGCGGACCAATTCGACCACTCGCTCAGCTTACAGTCCGTAAAACAGGGCACATGACACACTTCTTCTTCATAACCTGTAACAGCATGCATGCCACATAATACTTAGCGATACATTTAATATAACTAATAATAGTATAAAACAATAATATTGAAGAGCACATCACCAGGGCTGCTACAAAGATCTGGATCCACAAGTTTCCCCAGGTGATCGAGACAGGCCAGAGCTCTGTAGCGCTTTCCGTGTCCACACTCGCTGCCCTTCCTCTGAGCTCGCCAGTCCTGGACTGTCTTTTGGCTTTGGTGGGAAACCCCTTGGATGAAAGGATGGCCAGCAATATTCTTTGCTGGTGAAAGCAAGCAAGGAGACCAGGGACCCTGAGGCTTGGTGTGAAATTCTGAACAAGGACAAGCTTCTTTCTCCATGAGAGGAAACAATTCCTCCTGTTGGCATCGCCAGCGCTTCTTACTACGACCTGAGAGTTTGGACGGAAGGGGAGCTTGGATGGTGTATGTGCTTTCAGAAAACACTGTGATAATCAGAATGCAGTCAGGTTACCTATCAGAGAACGGGTACGAGTGCGCCAACTTCCACAGCCTTGACATTGGGTGAATCTGCTCCAGGAGGTGAAGCTACATTCATCTCTACATGGCACACGACACTCCCTCACCGGGACGGGCATCACTCCTGCCCACCTCACGCAGTCTGTCATATCTGCTGGAGAATCGTCTGCACCAACACACGACACCTCTGCAAACATAACAAAGAGGAAAAAGAGAAAGGCAAAGACATTTTTTTTGTTTGTTCAAAAGCAGTATATGTTGGACAATGTCAAACCAGCATTATTTTAGTATCATTCAGATATTATTTAAGTTTTTATTAAAGTCCCCCTGTAGTGAAAATCAAGTTTTTAATGTTGTTTATATGTCTATGTGGGGTTTTTAATATGCTTTAAGCCATTGTGCAAATTCATCATTGCTGAGTAGTTTCTACAACTGCAGTAAAAAAAGATGCGGTTTGAAATCGCGTTGTTCTTTAACATGTAAACAATCCCGACACATTATTAGCTGTGTGATTACGTTGTCAAGCAAAATTCGAGAGCAATACATAAAATGGATTACCATTCTGATGCATCGACTTGTATACGTTTACTCTTACACTTCTTCTTCTGAATCAGATTCTGGTTCAAACATTAATGGCTGAAATAAACCTGTGTATCGTTTACTACAGTAAAATTGACAGAGTGGATCTTTGAGCTGGAGTGAGTGAGTGGAGGCGGGGATTAATATGCATATCCATGTATAATAAATGAAGCAAGGGTGTAGAGTTACATTCAAGTAATTTTAAGGTATGAAAAAAATAATTTCACAGGAAAAAACATTTAAATATGTAATTCAATTACAGATCAAGGATTACAGTTTTAAGAGATAAAATTATAGACTACAGGGGGACTTGTTTTGAATTTAGCTTTTACTTTTATATTTTCAATTTTAATATTAGGCTAGTTGAAGTTTCAGCAATTATGTTGTGTACTTTTGTAATTTTTAAAAATATTTATGTCTATGTACTGTTCAGTAGTAATTTCAGTTTTAATCTAAAGTAACGTTAAACTAAATGAAAAAGGGTTTTTTATATTTATTTTTAACATTTATCTGTGTCAAACATAATGAAGCATCCATTTAATGTGATACAATTAAAATTGTATCATCATTTGTTCACTCGCTTTCTTTCTTCCATGAAACAAATATAACAGAAGATTTTTAGAAAAATGTTTTTCGTCAATTGGGTCCAGTGTTGTTTGTGATCCATAGAAGAAAAAATAGATATTGTATTGAATGACATGGGTGAGTAAAAAATTGGCAATCCTGTAAAATTGTACAAATATGTTTTGGGTCCCGCTGTAACACATTCTAAACACAGTCTTATGTAAATTGTTCCACAGCATCAAATGCAACAAATGACTAAAGGACGATTTTACGAATGACTTGCATAGATATACAGAATACATTTTCTTAAAAATCCCTGTCTCACTTTTTGTTAAAACTGTCTTAGTCTTAATAGGCCAAGTATTTGCCATTAAATTTACATGAAGCACCAGCAGGGCATTTTTAAACAGCCCGGAGACACAGATGCCAGATGTCAAACCACACAGTGTGTCCCCTCTGACATTTTGACAACTTTCTATAAGATGGGGATATGAGGAAAATTGCCAGCAAGAAACCTTCAGGCAGCCCAGAAGTCCCTCTGAGTAGCTAAGATAAGTTATCGTCCTACAGTAACCCCGGTATTGCAGAACTTCCTTAATAAAACTTTAAATTATACAGAGATCCTAATCCGTCACTTACCTCTTGTCTCGAGGCCAACGCCGCATGCCTCTACGGGCCCACCCACAGCCTGCCTCACCGAATCAGGTACCAGAACACACTGATGCCAGCGGTGGGTCTGCCATCTGTCAGGAAACATCCACCACAGAAAACATGTTGCAGTGTCTGGCTAATATCCAATTACATTTTATAAACATTTTGGATTTTGTTGGCATACACACTACCACCATGTCCACCATATGTTGCACATGGTTTTATTATATTTGGGTAGTTGTCTTACATTTTTGTTTTTCCTAATTTATAAATGCTAAAATGTTTAAATCAGGAAACTTGTAGTTTACTATGGAAGCTTTTTTCCGCCACAAAATGAAAAATAAAAAAAGGTAATCGCGACTTTTTATCTCACAATTCAGACTTTTTTTCTCACAATTGCGAGTATTCATCTCGCAATTCTGACTTTATTTCTCCGAATTGCGCGATGTAAAGTCAGAATTGCATGACATAAAGACACAATTTGCCCGATAACTCGCAATTGCGAGTTTATATCTCACAATTCTGAGAAAAGTTGCAATTATGTGTTATAAAGTCAGAATTGCAAGATGTAAACTCACAATTGTGAGAAAAAAAGTCAGAATTGTGAGATAAAAAGTCGCACTTCTGTCTTTTTTCTCAGAATTGCGACTTTATATCACACTATTCTGACTTTATATCTCACAATTCTGACTACATCTCGCAATTCTGACCTTATATCTCGCAATTCTGACTATATCTCGCAATTCTGACTTTAAACCATGCAATTCTGACTTTATAACTCGCAATTCTGACTTTATAACACGCGATTGTGACTTTTTATCTTTCAATTGCGACTTAATTTTTCACAATTGTGAGATAAAAAGTCACAATTATTATTTTTTTTTTATTCAGTGGCGGAAACAAGCTTCCATAGTTTACAGTTATAACAAAAAAAAAAAAATTCAATGGTATTTATGTATATAAGCTGATAAAGTTAATTCTGAAGGACGTGAGAAGCTAGAGATTTGTACTTTTTGACACATTAAATTGATCAAAAGTGACTGTAAAGCAAACTCTATTTCAAATAAACTGTTATTTTGAACTTTCTGTCAATTAAATAATCATGGATAAACTGCATTACATTTTCCACAAAAACATTAAGAATTCAACATTGATAATAAAAAGAAATGTCTGTTGAGCATCAAATAATAATATTAAAATGATTTCTGAAGGATCATGTGACACTAAAGACTGGAATAACGATGCTGAAATTTCAACTTTGTATCACAGGAATACATTTCATTATAAAATATATTCAAATAGAAAACAGTTATTTAAAATTGTATTAATATTTCACAGTATTGCAGATTGTAGAGCATTCGTTCAAAAACAACACAACGCCAACATTAGTCAATGACTTTTGAAACATCATTACTGAACCGGTCAGCATTTGAGTAATTTAATTAATTTAATTTCATTTTGTTTCTATACATTTCAATTTAACTGCCTGTTAGCTAACTTGTTGGTTTAGTATGTCCAACTTTTCCCATTTAAATGATGAAACCATTTCTCTCTTTACCTGTAAGTTGGGCACAGAGGAGGTGGATCACATTCTCTCTCCTCAAAAAGAGTGTCCGGGCACTCTTGACCTCCGTTAGCGGGTCTCTGGATGATAATCCTATGACGAGACTGGTTTGGGGCAGTAGCATTCACTAAAGAAGCAAAGTATAGAAAAAAATACATAAAAGGCCAAACATTTAGCTTATCTAGTTATTATGTGTTGTTAGGGTTAGTGGAATTGCCTGATAAACAGGAAGAGGGACAGGGACTCCATTCACTAAAAGGTGTGATGATGCAGTCAGTTTTGCAAGGTAACGGGCAAGACCGTATCGTGTCAGGACGAGAGGATTCAGGACACCTGAAGTAGAGTCAAGACACGAGATAGAGGGTATCGTCAAAGAAGTCTACACAGATGTTAGGAGGAAAGATTTTGTTTTTTAATACCGTTTTGGCAGTACGTGTCCGTTCCCAGCTCTCCTGCACGTGACTTGGCGCATCTGTACCCCCGTACCACAGGTGGCATCATTCTCCATCTGGGCTGTGCTGTTAGCGTCACTCTTGTCTGTGATGGTGTTTGGCACACAGGGATGCCAAGGTGAAGTATCCCAGTAGTGCACTGTGCATGGGTGCGTGCTGCAGGCTCTCCACTGCTGCAGCTCAGGAGCCGGAGGACATGGCTTTCCATCTACAACCAAACTAAATAGCTCAGGATTCTTTTTTTATATCCTTCATATTTAACTGCAACTTTAATTTACATTATGGCATACAGTATATGGCATACAACTCATATTAGTTTTCAGTTACATGAAAATTCATATTTGCAATAGGCCTATTCATAGATTATTCTGCAAATGAATACATCTGCACATTTTACATCAGATATAAAGGATATATATATATATGGGGTATAAATTTGGGATCGGTATGATATTTTATGTTTTTATAAGAAAAAGACTCTTCTACAAGCCTGCATTTATTTAATTAAAGGTGCATTGTACAACATTTCATGTTTAAAATGCCAGTTTTTCTAACCCGTACATGCTTAAACAATTGCCTGATGGGGTGAATGAGCCCTTCTCTGATCAATGCGATTGCCTCTATAATCCTGTACAGTAAGTGTTAATATGTACATTTTAGGTGCTAATATGCACATTTTAAGTGTTAATATGTACATTTCAGGAGCTAATATGTCCATTTTAGGTCCTAATATGTACATTTTAGGTGTTAATATGTAACAATAGGGTACCAATGTGCAGCCTTTGGGTACAAAAGTGTACCTTTTGTGACAGCCTTTGTACCTTTTTTCTGAGAGTGCGCGTTCACGCTCACCTGGCTATGTTTGGCAGGTTTGTGTATTCGCCGCCATTCTCCGTATCAGCGAAGACAACTTGAGCGACAAAACTTTAGTCAATTTTCCACAAAAGTAGAAGATGGATTCAAAGAGACCGGCTTGTAGTTCATTCCAAAGCCCAACGCAAACTCCACGTAAGACAAAGAAAATAAAACTTCTGTCTAGTGCAAGGCGTCGGAATAAGACGAGAGTCAACATCGAGAAGACTTTCAACAAATGGAGAGATCTCTGGTCTGCTCTAGGGCTCAAACGGGATCCTATACAAAGTAATAACTTGTATTGTTCATGAACGTGTTTCCATAATAATACAATCATAAGTGGATACAGTAAGCACATAAAACAGTTCAACATGGAGATAGATGGAAACAAAAAACAAAGTTTTCTACTACCCCCGTTTTCCCCTCACACACACACAAGTGTGTAATTTACTCAAATGTCTCTCCTTTTCTTTAAAACGAGTTGCAGATTTATAACTTTATTACCTCTGAAGACATTATGACAGTTTCGCTTGTCGCCAGAGGGGGCGTAGTTCTGCAAAAACTCAGAGACTTGTGCAATGCACCTTTAAACCTACAGCAAAAATAGTTATATTGTAAAATATTATCACAGTTTACTTTTTTATTTTCATCAGCCATTAATCAGAATCATCCTTCAGAAATCTTTCTAATATGTTGATTTGGTGCTCAAAAAAAAGTGTTGAAAACGGTTGTGCTCCCTGATATTTTTTGATTCTATGATGAATAGAAAGATAAAAAGAACAGCATTTAAAAAATAACAATAATAAATTTGGTGTCAATGTAAAAGCCGTTACTGTCACTTTAAATCAATTTCATGATCCCATGACCCACACACACACACACACATACACGTGTGTACACAAACACACACTTACACACACTTTAAGGACAATTGACCATGTGATTTAGGGGTCAAATGCAGGGTATGTCCTTGATGAGTGTGTCATAAAAGAATGTATAATTAATGAAAAAGACCTGATTTAAGCGGACTAGCATAAATGAAACATGCCTGAAGAATGACAGGACAAAGGCAAAACAACGTTTTGAAATGGGGATTAGAGATTTGTACTCAGAGTAAATCAGAGTCTAGAGTTTAAAAAAAGAGGCACTGTGAATAATTAAACTGAAAGAATCTCAAAAAGGACTTTAATAAAGCCCAGTGTTCGAGAGCTTTTCTGCAACATTTTCAACAGATGTTATGTTTCTAACATGTCTTCATATACCTTTTGCAGCATGTCTTTTGCATAAGTTAGTGTTAAATGCCTCTTCCAACAAGGTGGGCAATTTTCTCTGTGTGTAAATAGACACTCCAAATGTTTAATCTGACTGAACTCACGCTTCCCAGGAAGAGCCAGAACAAGACGTGAACGACTTTGTTTCCCCTCTGTGTGTTTACTGGAGCAGGATTGGGAACAGGATGTCCAGGAACCCCAGTGTCCCAGCACACAGTCCCCAGGACAGGGCATCTCACATGGCTGTCCGACTGGGGGAGGATCTCCTGGGCATTGATTACCATCTACTGGCTCCCCTATAATGCAAAATAAAGGCGGAACATCTGATTAAATGCATCTGATCAGAAAAAAAATAATGTTCCTGTTCACTCTCTTTCTTTTTCTTTTTTTATATTAAATATGTTTCTTTTTTTCTCACTTTTCTTGAATAACACATTTAAATATCTTAAATTATCAATTTCTTAATAAACAAGCATATTAACATCTTATTCCAATACAACACAAGAAAATATGCAATTAAATTAATTGCTAAGAAACAAAATTAGAACATTGAAATAATTATCATGGTTTGTTCTAAGCACAGACATTTCTCAGTTTCCCCTTATCTCGCACCTAACAACCACTTTACTTTAATTAAAGTACAATAATATGCAAATAAGATGTTTAATAGCATCCTGATTGCTCTATTCTTTTCTCAAAGACCATGATTGGGCAACATTAAGACACTTTTTTAATTAACAGAAAGCTTGAAAATCATTATCTGCTAATGAATGCTAAAGTAAAAAATATCAATGCCAAACTTCACTCAATTCAGTGTGGAAAATACTCTGAAGTGTGTCCTAAATGTTTAAAAAAAAAATCATTAAAACAAGACTCATTGGCACTTTTTAAATCCTTAACCTCACTAAATGTTGTTAGTTTCTGCTTACGAGTTATTAATATAAACTTAATCCAGAAGTTTTCTTGTTTTAATCATAATTATGACCATATTTATGTCATAACGGATATATGTTTCTGTCACATAGATACAATCTCGTGGAAGATCTTTTTATTTGTGAAACTGGAATGAACAATAGACACATATACACAAGCACAGACTCAACTAGTAGAAGATGCTCTTCAGGTTGTTTGTGAGATAAAAGAACAAAGATTAAAGGCAAGCAATAAACCTACAGACGCTGCTCTGAGAATCAGATATTGAGGCACAATAGTTCATTTCTTCATTACATCTCAAATGTAGGAGGGGCAACATTTCTTCAATTGATGTTAGGCCCTAAAAATCAATCTCCCTGAATCCCATATTCGTTGCCTAAGATATAAATGCACAAACTGAGCATTTTTAAAAAGAGACTTTCTTGTCTGAAGATGCCCAGCTCTAAAAAAAGTATTTTTATGACCCCTGTAATCATCTTTTTTTTTTTTTCTTCTTTTTTTGGTTGTGTTATAAGGGTTTATTTCATTTTCTTTTCACGGTGGCAGACACACATTTTTTCCCCCCTATTTGTACTGTTGGAAGAAGCAATTTCCCAGAGTGATTATCTACCTAGAGCATTAAAAAGTGCATTATAGTATAGCATCAGAACTGCAGGACTGTCGATACAGCAGAATTCACGCTACTTCATAAACATCAAATTTGCAGTCAGATCACTAAAACTGTAGAGATAACTTTTACAAATGAACCATCGAAACTTGTCCATCCAGAGCAAAAACTCGGCCAAATAGTGCATCATCATCATAAATTAACAAATTCACTGACAGAAGCAGTGGGTATTTAACAAAAGGTTATTTGCGGGCCAATAAGCATTTACATAGAAACCATTTAAAATAGCATAGTAAACATAAAGCAATGTGCTAAAAACCATGGCAACACCCATAGTGTAATCAAAATATATATAAATATTGTCCATGTATATTTATCTTGCAAACAGCACTGCTTAAGGAAATATATTCTTGAGATTAAAAATATATTTTGGTTTATTTTGCATTTTGGATGTATATATATATATATATATATATATATGTACTGTACACACATACATTCAGTATATATAAAGTTCCAAAAATGAGGAAGCTAAAATATATTTAAAATACAGTATGTAAATGTCTATATTAACAATATATTTTTTGGCCATTTTTTTGTGTATTCAACATGTTTTTTATCATCTGAAAATACATATTTTTTACATATAGGATTCTATTTTATCATCATGATGGAATATGTAAAAATCTCGATTGCATTTTATAAACTCTTTGAACACCTGGGATGTAATGCAGTGTTGTTATGACAAAGTTAGATAAGGTGACTATAACTAATGTGATTATAATGCGAGTATAATGTGAGTATAATGTGATTACAACTCAAATCTCCAGCAAGAATACATTATCGCTTTAAGTCAACTGCACTTCAACTTTAATGGCTCTGGCATTTCAGCTTCACTTTGCATTTTGCAGAACATTCTAAGTGCATGCTGCGAAGATAATGCTGTCAGGTTTAATGCATATGTGTGTCGGATATAAAACTCCAAATGCACCATTTCCAGTAATGCCTGACATTTGACGAGCCACAACAGGACATGTTTCGCACACAGAAGTAAACCCCTTAAAGGGGTGGTTCGGAATTTCCAAGGGAGCCTAGTGTTATTTATTAGTGGCGACAGTTTTAAAAAAATTTCATCCAGTCTTTCCATTTGCATACCGTAGTTCGCCAGTGCTAGGCTAGCGCGAGTCATCAGTAACTGCTAGCCTGCCATTAAAAACAGTTTTACCCACTCCACAGTTCACCAAATGCAAATAAATTATAATGCAAGACTATCGATGTAAATGTCTGTTGAGAGAATAATGTTAAAAATCAAACTACCCTTTCATTGCATTGCAATAGTTATACTTTGTTCCCTGTATTTATTAGCACAGTCTACAGCAGTGGTAGAGTTTAACATTTTTAACATTATTCTCTTAACAGACCGTTACATCGATATAATTTATTTGCTTTTGGTGTACTGTGTAGTGGGTAAAACTGATTTTAATGGCAGGCTAGCAGTTACCCTTGACTCGTGCTAGCCTAGCACCGGCGAACTATGCAACTGGAACGACTGGACGAACGTTTTTGAAATGATAAATAACACTAAGGCTAACTCAGAAATGAGGCCCGACGTCCAAAATCCTGAACCACCCCTTTAAGGCCGCTCATGTCCTTGCTGATGGACAACACATGCACTGGCAATTGACATGGATGAGTGACATTACAATGAAAGACCTTAGAGGACTCTTAAGGCTTTTTGAAACTTGTGTCTCTGTGCATTTGTGCGTCAAAACTGCAGTGCAACACTGTGGCATGGATCTGTCTGTCTGTTCTGATCTTAAACTCATCTCAACGAGAAGCACAGAAGACAGATAAGAAATATGCCACATAGCCGCTGGGAGGAGAGGAGAGATGAGAGCAGATTAAAAGACAGCTGATCATTTGCTTATGTGAGTAAAAATAACTAATCGCTGAAGAGTTTGAGGATGGGGATAACAGAAGGTTGAAAGTAATTAGAGGGAGGTGAAGAAGGATGGGATTGAGAAAGATAATTAAAGGGATAGTTCTGTAAAGCTGTCATTTAATCACCGTCATGCATTTACTCAAGATGATTTTACAACGTGGAAGGAGATCATTTGCAGAATGTCTTGGCTGCTGTTTTCCATACAAAGAAAATGAATTGCCTACTGTTCAAAAGTTTGTGGTCATATTGTGAAATACTATCACAATTTAAAATTAGGGTGCAATTGTGTGTAAAATGTGATGCACAGCTGAATTTTCAGCATCATTACTCCAGTCATCAATGTCACATGCTCCTTCAGAAATCATTCTAATATGATGATTTGCTGCTAAAGAATCATTTTTTTTTAATTATTATTATTATCAGTGTTAAAAAATATTTTTTTTGTGAAATTTAGGATTAAAAAGGTCAGTATAAAAGTTAAACAGAACAGAATTTATTTGAAACATAAACCTTCCATATTAAAAATGTATTTACTGTCACTTTTGATCAATTACAATCAATTATTTTGTATCAATTACATTTTTTTTTAAATTCTACTTACCTCAGTCTTTTGAACAGTAGTGCACAGTATATGGGAGATGTCAGGCTCCCCCCCCCCCCCCCCCCCCCCCCCCCAAAAAAAGAAAAAAAAAAATAAATGTCTTGTACACTATGCTCCCAGTTTTCTGAAGCCATAAATAGCTTTGAGGACCAGACAAAAATGTATTTTGCTCCCTCCTGAAAATCCTCTCATTTGCATTTGCATACATTCAAATCTTAATACACCCCAGAATAGACTCATCAGTGATGGACGTCATTTTTTTATTTATTTGCCTAAAAAATACTGAAAAAAATGCTGCAGAACAAAACATTACAATAGATTACAAAAAAAAAAAATCTGGCAACATATAATTAAATATTTGAATGAATTGAATTATAGGATATAACACAGTCTCATCCCAAGTCGTCATATAACTGACGTCTTGGGACGTCTTTTGACCATACGTCAACATCCGCCTTTTTAGGGTACCCTTAAACATCGGTTGGTTGACGATCCCGGGCCGTCATACAACTGACGCTTTACCTTTAACGTCAGTTAGGTGACGGGGTAGGTTAGGATCCGATAACGTCATATAACCGACGTTTAAGGGTACCCTAAAAAGGAGGATGTTGACGTATGGTCAAAAGACGTCCCAAGATGTCAGTTATATGACATCTTATGGACTGCTTACTTTTATGTTTGTTTGTTTGTTCAGTTTCATTAAATGGAAAAGAGAAGATTCAGGTTCATTCATACAACAGTTTCAGGTGAACTATAAGTGACGTGAGCCACATACGTACCTGTGGCGGACAAACACTCCAGAGTCTGTTCTTGGGATCCAGGGCCACACAATCCATTTCGTGGAACACATGGCCCCTGTGATGTCACTCGCCACTGGAAGCAGAAGGGGTCATCGCAGATCATCGCTTCGTTGACGTGAGGGCAACTGTCGAACTCCACCCAAGACTCGGTAATTACAGAACGAGTTCTTATTCTGAAACCTGAAAAAATGAGGAACAAGAAAAAAAAAAAACACATCAGCGATGACTCAAATAGAAACATGCTCATTGCCAACGTTTTAGCAGATCCTGTTCCCACATTCTGGCAAACTAAGGAGCGTAACGGCCAAATATATATGAGCTGTGCCGCTGTTACTTAAATATATATATATAACTGTGAACCATTACACTGAGATATACGAGTCGTCGAGAGAATAAATAAAAAAAGGAACTCAAAAAAAAAAATGCTTTAAAGCGAGTGAACAAAATAGAGGAATAAAGCTGTCCTGTCACTGTCGCCTCAATGAGTGGGCGGCACCAAAGCTTAGGGTCAGAAATACGCCCACTTCTGAGATTCATACACTTTTTACATTAGTGAGAGGAGAAACCAAGGACAGTGCATCTAATGGAATCTAATGTGTGCGATCTGGTTTTATGGGATGTTTTTGTCTCTCACCTCTTTTCCCCTGGGGTTCGAAACAGTTGTCATGGAGACAGGGTCCCCAGGGTGACCAAGGCGTGAGGGGACAATGTTTCTGACAGGGAATGAAGCAAGACTCAGCCAATGGTGGTAAAGGACCAGTGCACAAGTTCCTGCCAACAGGCCGATTGACTAATAATGAAAAAACAGTGAGACAGTTTCAGACTTACCATAAATGTCCATTGATGTACTGTAGGGTACAACGGGGCTAAAGGTGTCTTTCCAAAACATCGGTTTGTTGTACATTTGAGTAGCAAATGTGAATAGCTAAAATTATTGCAAATATTTTGAGACAAAGGTATTCTCAATGATTATCAGTTTGTTCATAATTTAAGCAACGTTTTTTAATAATGGAATACTATGTAAAAGTGTGGTCTTTGGGGTAAAGGCACAATCTGCACAATTTTCCCTTCTGCTGGGGCAAAAGGCACAATAATTAATATGATAATAAATAGCTGGCTGATTTGACATGAGATGGTTAGATTCAGATGGTAAATATCATATGTGACCCTGGACCACAAAACCAGTCTTAAGTTGCACGGGTATATTTGTGGCCAACAAAACACTGTATGGGTCAAAATTATTGATTTTTCTTTTATGTCAAAAATCATTAGGATATTAAGTAAAGATCATGATCCATAAAGATATTTAGTAAATTTCCTACCTTAAATATACCAAAAAAAAATTTGGTTAGTGGATGCAGCACAATCGCCAACAGAAATAGAAACCTTTAAAAGACGATTTCCTCATTATTTAATTTTTTTAATATTTATCTCAATATTTTTTGCACCCTCAAATTCCAAATTTCAAATAGTTGTACCTCGGCCAAATATTGTCCAATCCAAACAATTTAAAAAAAAAATGGACACATAAGACTGCTTTGTGGTCCAAGGTCACATATATATAGTTGGGTAGAAATAATCCTTAGAAATAATCCCCATATTTATAATGAAACCATCATATTTAAAAAAAATTGGATGGATGGATTGTTTCTGTATTTTTAAAATATATATTTTATATTAACATATTTTAAAGACTGTATATATTTATTGAACAATAGTACAAACTTGGCTAAAGTGATTGTTTTGAACAAGTATTAAGACATTCCTATAAAACATATTATGGCTAAAGTTTTGTATTAATCACGTGTGGCTTTTGCCCCATGCTGGTAACCCCGTGTGTGCCTCATAAACGTACAAGATTTACCACTTTTATGATCTATTTTCACACAAAAATCTGTTGCTCCATCAATGTTCAATACAAACATATATATTTTTTCTGCAACCATACACTAACTATGGGAGTTGTGAAAAGTATTTTCAAAACATTTTTGCATATCTTACAGAAGCTTGCACAAATATAAATGTAATTCAAATCCGTCCTTCTCACTATGTGTGGCAAGTGCAACAGATTACCATTTAAATCAAAAAATAGAAACACAGAGGAAACTAAATCTTCCCCTTAGTGTTCTGCCCTGAGTCTCGACAGCAAATAAAGGATTAAATAAAATGAAAGCCATCTAAAAATTCCCCCCACCCCCCTTAATGTTTATGCTTTTAATGTTAAAAAAAGACTCTTACTCGAGAGTCGCATTCACATTTGTTTATTGTACTGTCAGTTGGCCTTTTTTTATTAGCAATCTGATCCCAAATCAAAAGGTATTTTAGGGCACCATCCTTACTGAAATCTCATGACTCGGATAGCTCTCCTTAGGCAGAAATTTTCTGTTTTTCCAGTGCATTGTAATTGAAATAATCCTGTGATTCTACCATGGTACTAAAAACAAAATATTGTCTGATGGAACAATAATTCATAAATCATAATTCTATGCAATTAATTCATAGTTTACATTTCCTAAAACAGTGTTCTTACTATGGGATGGTACTGTGATGTCATGGATCCTGACACAATAAGCCTCTCGGGTCCGGATCCCGCCTCCGCACAGGACACTGGCGTTGCTGTAGCGATGGTCCTGCTGACTCAAAAGAGGGGTCACCTGGCATGGATTCCAATTGGTCACCCTCCACTCATACCTGTATTTCCAGCCAATTAAAATACATACAAGACAATTCAAGTCAAATTAAAGAGTCATATCGGTTCAAAATATCTGCACATCTGAATGCGAGCTCGAAGTCTATTGTAAGAAGGGTGTGGATTTGAACAATTTGTGAAACAGATGAGAAATAGATAAGGGGGAATTATAATTTATTGCAGACTTTATTATTTAGAGAAAAATCAAAACATTTGAAAAGATTTGGATGCACAATTCTGGCAATGCCGTCTCTTCACCTTGGGCAGAGTGGCAGTGTGTCTTCCAGAATGTTACAGTTTGCTTTTTCTTCCAGGGCGGGGCATGGCTCTCCTCCACCAATGGCTGCTCTCTTCAGGCTGCGGCTCCTGCTTCTGAAGCCAGGTGATTGGTCAGATGTCTGGCACGTCTTTGAACATGGACTCCACCGTGACCAATTAGACACTTTACAGTCTCTGGGCATCACACATGAACGAAAGTTTACCGGGCTGTTGTCATGGTCACAGAGGCTGGAGATGAGAAAGAAATTTTTATTTTATGTCTGTCATATTTATATATAATTTATATTTAATTATATATATATATATATATATATATATATAATTTATATTTGACAACACTACACCGCACTCAGTTTATTATTTCAGCTGCCATTTTAAAAGACTAAGTTGAAAAATAAGTTGAAAAATTTATATATTATATGTAAAATTTAACAGGTGTTGGCAGGTGTTAATGTCAAGCCCTGTATATATATATATATATATATATATATATATATATATAAAATAGTAAAATAAAATAAAAATTGAATTGTAAAAATATTACAATTACAAAAAAAAAAAATCACACTGTTCAGGTAGTTTCAAAGGGTTTCGTGTTTGTAAATTGCCTTAAAATAAATATTTCATCTGCCTGTTCTGAAGCTGTTGGCATGCATTTTGCCTCTGGCATTGGAAAAAAAAAAGGTAGCAACATAAACAGAACATTTTTCAAGCTGTCTCTCGAACTCTCCAAGGCTTTAACGTTGCTGATGATTCTTGCTGAATATATTGGCATACAAAACAAGCTAAAGCAAACTATGAAATCCTGCGAGAGAGAGAGAGAGAGAGAGAGAAAGAAAGATAGGGAGGTCCGTGGGTGTTCAATTTATTCAGAAGTTTAGTCTGGCTTAATACCAATGCAAAAAAGTTTGTAAAGCGCAAGGGAAATCATGTAATCTGCAGACATAAAATGATGTTAATTTAATATGCATTGCCTAAGCAAGTGGTTCAAATAAAGACTGGCATTAGCATCTTATTGTTGGTAACAATATCGATGCTTGCTGCATAGCATAGACAACAAAACATTGCTTTTTTTAAAGTGTTGATTGCAAAGCGTGCTTGTTCGACCGTAGAATTGGCATTGATTAATATTATAAGCCCTGTCTTTGAAACCAAATCAGGGTGTTTGGATAATGAGTTTGAACATTGTTAAAATTTTACTTGGTAATGAGAATTAAAACACCTAAATAATTAAACTCAGGTGGGATATTTAGATTAAGAATTATATGCATATTTTTAAACCTTCATATGCTCATCTTAAGTGTTAAAGCTGTGTTAAGATGTGTTAAAGCAAAACTTTTCCCACATTAAATATTTCGCATTAGGGATTTATATATTCTATTTATATATTTATCATATTTCGCAGGCTTGGGATCTTCCCTGATTTGAAAATAAAAGGTGACACGGCCTCTCACTTTTCTGTATCGGTACCTTTTTCAGAAGGTAAAATTTAGATTATGTTATTTGACAGCGTAACCAGAAATGCATTTAGAAATAAAAGCCCGTTCTCTGATGTAAACAGTATCATATGGTACAATGGTAATCCATCTGCAGGAGGATAGCAGAGCTTAATACAGCAGACTCTATCCTCACTGTGGAGAGTGACAAAAAAAAATAAAGGTAAATGTGTGGCATAACTGTGTGCTAATAGGCCTGTATCATTTATTTATGGTCAGATCAGTAATGAGTAGGGTTGGGTATCGTTTGAATTTGAACGATTCTGATTCCGATTCCTTGTTTCGATTCCGGTTCCCAACGATTCTCGATTCCGATTCTTTTAAGAGGCAGGGTCAAAAAAGTTTAGCTAACCTTGCTAACCAACGGTCTTTCTGAAGGAAATACTCCTTCTGTCACAAATACTCCTTTTGTCACAAATTTAGCATTTTGCCGAGATTTCGTTATTTTTAGAAAAGTGAAGCTACACTTTGGACCGCCGACGTAAGCTACTCATGTTCGACTCGCGCGGTTATGCCAACACTTCAGGTAGACGCTTCTTCGTTGGTGTTGTTGAGCGGTTTCTTCTTCTGGTCGGCGGACTGTGAATATCGAAACTAGGAATCGAAATTTTAACTTTTGAACGATTCCGGGAAAAAATGAAAAGTTAGTCCCGGTTCCAATCGATGCTCGATTCTCGATACCCAACCCTAGTAATGAGTCAATCTGACCGCAGTCAAGACTACATCTACAATAATTCTTAAAATGCTTTTATCACACAACTCTCTCTTTATTCTGGATTCTTTATTCTTATTTACTCTTTTGTAAAAAGCTAAACTTTATAATTGGCCAATTTCCTCCATAGTTGTGCTAGTTCCACTTCACTATCTATTTTTTCTCACATAAAATAAAGTGAAATCAATATTTTAGAACCATGTTTCAGTAAGTATCTGTGGGTTCTGGATAACACTGGGTTGAGTTGAACACAAACAAAAAGCTAATTAAATTAAATAAATAAATATAATAAATAAAATCGAACTAACTAACTAACGAAATAAAATAAAATAAAATGGTTAGTGCATTAAACGGATGGGTCCACTGACTGATCAAACAGTGGATTGATGTATGTGAGAATGGATGGACAGACTGATTGATTGGTAAAGGGGTGGGTGAATGGATGAATGGGTGAATAGATTGATGGGTTTATAAACGTATTCACTCATTAACTCATTAGAAAGGACGCCCACCTTAGCATGGCATTCTTCCCATCACTCCTCGTGCAGCGCAGTTGCCAAGTCTGATAGCCAATAGTGATTTCCCAGGATACTTTGTGGCCACTTTCCTCATAATGATTTTGGTGGGGAATGCTCTCGGTGTGGCGTTTGATCGTGAATGGAGCCTTGACTGTTTTTTTCCCATCATGCCCGAAATTGAAGTCCACCGTTGTCTTTCCAATAGGTGCCGTCCCTTTAAGTCTGCAAGGGCTCCAGGGCCCCACCCACAAACTGTAACTGTATTCCTGTTGGTCAGAGGGACAAGGGGCAGGGTGGGCGTTGTCATGGTTACAGGGACGTGTCTGGGTGAGGATGGGACAGTCTGCTCCTCCATACAGGGGTGTTGCCAGCACATGCCTGGTGCGCTGTTGGAGGGCCGACCCGCAGGTGCGACTGCAGGTGGACCAGTGGGTGAAGGCGGAGACGACGCAGTCGATCGGGCAGGGTAACAAACACGCCTGCTCTCTTTCTGGAGGTGAAGAAAACGCTTCACACACATGCAGGCTCACGCTGGTGCTGTTAGTACGCTTCACACACACCACATCTCGCTTTTGTACTCCACGCTGAGCGGTCACACATCGATTGGCTGGGAGGAGAGGACTCGGGGTGCAGGGACCCCAAGGAGACAAGCGCCACTCAAACAGATCCTTTTGCCATTCGCACATCTTCACACACACTCGCTGGTGTGGTGGCCGGTCAGATGGAAAGCAATTGGACTGATGAGTGCTCCAGCCTTCAGAATGGACACACCACACCGAGCGACTCTGGAGCCCGACGGAGCCACAATCACTGGCCACACATACGCCCCATGCACCTACAGGAAATAAGAGAGAGACACACACGGGATATCAAGTGATTTATATTACTATTGTAACCAGTCTCTATTAAAGCCCAAAACAGGCAATTCATCTTACTTTAGCTCAGAAATACTGTACATACATGTGGATTCAGACAGATAATCACCTTTAATTAATTTAGAATAGCACTGTCAGAACAGTGATTACAGTATAATATAATATAATATAATATAATATAATATAATATAATATAATATAATATAATATAATATAATATAATATAATATAATATAATATAATATAATAACCATTCAACATTTTGGGGTCAGTAAGAAATTAATACTTTCATTCAGTATGGATGTATTAAATTGATTTAAAAAAAAGTGCTACAAAAGATTTCTAATTCAAATAAATATTCTTTTGAATTCTATTTAAACTAATGAGTTTTCTTTTCTTTTTTGACAAAATTTTATCAAATATATTAAGCCTTGGTCTGGCCCAAATAAAATAAAATAAAATAAAATAAAATAAAATAAAATAAAAAAAAATAAAATAAAATAAAATAAAATAAAATAAAATAAAATAAAATAAAATAAATAAAATAAAATAAAATAAATAAAATAAAATAAAATAAAATAAAATAAAATAAAATAAAATAAAATAAAATAAAATAAAATATTTTTTTTAATTTATAAAATATATAAATTTATTTATTTATTTTATTTTAAAATAAAACAGCAGTAATTAAGTGGTTAGTAATGTTGTCCATTTAAAGCAAAAGTCAATGTGTAACACACATTATAACTAGTTATAAAGTTGCTTCTATTCTCACAGTCATGTTAATATCCTGAATGTAGATCATTCATTTTAACTTCATTCATTTTAACCCAACAACTTTAAATGATAATTGTTTAAACTCAAATGCAGCAAAAGTTGCCATCTGTTAAAAATCACATGATCCCCATTAGAAAATAAAGGGACAGAAAGAATGGAGAAGCGATGGGAACAGAAAGGCAGAGGGGGACAGATGCTTCCATCAGAAAATCTGACATCATTGCTATCGTTCCTCAGGGGATGTCAAAGGCCATGTTCCCTTCATCAAGCCACCAGTGAGGTCACCAAAGAGAACAGACAAAAACCACGTGAAAGAGAAAGCGAGCCATATAGGATGACATCATTACTGTATATGAGGACGCCGAACACACATTTAATCATTAGACTGTAGTAGGTCTTCACAGCTTGCTAATTACCGCTCGTGCGCTCATCTGCCTTAGTCAAATATCAATTTACTCAGAGGCAGTTCAGGTAAGACTTCAACCGCAGAGGCCTGTCCTACAGAGATCTCCCGGCTAATCAGGATTCTGATGGATGGCATGCTGATTAAAGACTCTAGATGTGGGAATAATCACTTTGAACTGGAGCAATGTGAGAAAAACCACCAGGAAAGAGATGTGTTGTTGTTGTGCTTTTCTCTGAACTGACTATTATGGGGAGGAAAATGGAAAAACAATATTGTGAAGCATGTGGCTCATTTACACTTTTCTGCTAGTGGAATTTAGTGGAAACCATGTTGACAGAAATTGCAGATCTATATGCATTGATTTTTTTTTTCATATCCTTATGAAAATTACATATAGATTTGACTGCAGTCACTTACACTAGCATTCATACGTTTTTTTTTTTTTTTTTTTTTTTGAGCTTAGTGGGATATTTTAATATATGTGAAAGAAGTATCTTATGCTCACACACACACACACACACACACACACAGAGATAGACTCACAATCACTCTCACAGCCGTGACAAGCTCCTTCCAACTTTCAAACTGACTTCTATGTCTCACAGGGAGTTGATCCTCTATCTCCCTCCGTCTCTCATATGGCCATCACTGAAAGGCAGCAGGCAGGCGAAGAGAAACAGAACTGAGATACAACCAGGACCCTGTCCCATGGTGTCACAGCAGCTTAAAGCTGTGAGATAGGATGAGGTCACTCCGAGGGCATCGGAAGCAAAGTCACTGTCGGTTAGATCGTGAGTGGTTTTACTCAATTTTGGCAGCACAAAGGCAGATTGAACTAGGATATCTTATCGAGTAGAATCCACATTATCAATTTCTATTTACTTACAAAATGCAAATTTTGAGTGAAAACTGAAATTGGTTTTCGTTCCCACGGGTTTATCCTCAGGCAAAACCCATCGGCTTCCACAGTTGAAAATACGTCATTAGCAACAATCAGAGGCTTTGGTTCAAACACACCTGAGACAGGTTATTTTCCACTCTTCAGACTTTCAAAAGCTTTAATCACCCACAAGCCGCCTAGGGTTTCCTCTATGGTGGGATTCCTCGGTGGCTGTACTTCCATTATAAAGACCGCCAGAGAGACTGAGAGTGCAAACAAACGCTCTATACTGCTTGCTACTCCACCTCACGTTGAGTTCATTTAAAAAACATGTTATGCATTTGACAGATTCTTTTTGTCTTAAAACATCATTTTCATCCACACATGCATTCCCTGGCAATCTAACCTGTGACCCTGGCAAGTCATTACCAGCCAAAAAAAAAAAAAAAATCAAGCTAACAGCTGTGGAAAGTTCTTTAGGGCTTTTTAACATGCATGCACTGCAACCAAACTACTGTAGACCACACTGCTTCTTAGAAATGATTAGCGCTCATTATAAATCAACAAGATCTTAAGCGCTCATAATACTGCTCTGATCACCTTTCAAATGAATCGTATAGATGCAAACAGCCACAGATAAGCACATCATTCATGTTTTAAATGCACTATAAAGGTTTGGATAAGTCTATAAGGTCAATGTTTTTGCAATTTTGAAAAAGTCTCATATGCTCACCAAGGCTGCACATTTTTTAATTAAAATACATTTGAAACTGTAACTTGAAATATTGCTGTTTAAAATACCTATTTTCTATTTTATTATGCATTTTTAAATTTAATTTATTCCTGCGATGGCAAAGCCGAATTTTCAGGAGCCATTAGTCCAGTCGTCAGTGTCACGGTCCATCATTCCTTAATGAATAGAAAGTAAATGTATATAATATATATATAAAGAGAGAGTCTTTATAATTATAGTTAGTCATTTTTGATCAATTTAATGCATCCTTGCTACTGTAAATAAAAGTATGTACTTCTTTCAAAAATAATAAAAATATGAATAATCCCAAACTTTGAAACGGAATGTATTATACAGAAAGTTGCCAGTTGTTTTTATTTATTTATTTATTTATTTTTTATCATTTTCACGAATCTTACATGGCCCTCTGTGATGGCTAAGGTCACACCTGAATGAACATTTGCATTGGTTTTTATTTATTTATTTTTTTGGATGCAAAAATGTATATTTTTGTTTGATCTAATGAATTAATGTTCTCTGTTTTGCTCTATTTATGGATGTCTTTGTAAGTAATTTTTCTGTTTAAATATAATTTATCCAGACCTTGGAATTGGAGAACCTACATTGTCTCTGTGGTTTAAATATCAAGGAGTAACAAAATCTATTACCATTTATTTCTAGAGTGCACACTAGAGTAAATGAAACCACAACCAAAATATGGGTTTAAAGTTTTATTTAAGTTTGTTATATGTATATCTTATACATATTATAAGAAACCCTTGGTTTCGCCGGGATCAATGACTGCACCATGGAACGGTTTGGAATGAAAAGGGTGTGGCGTTTTCCTGGTGTCCTTTATATATCTCATGGGGAATTATGGGAAATGTAGTTTTCAGGACAATATGGGTTGGGGTTGTGTGTTAATTCACATGTGTTTAAAGGAGGTGTTTTATGTATGAATGTATAAGTGTATTTTCCTTATTGCTTTATGGTAAATGTTATTCTTATGTTCATTCATGTCCGTGTATTGCTATATATATTTTCCCCTTTTATGTTTGATGTAGAATGAGAAGTCTTGTGATTACCCCTGTAATTATCAAAATGGTTTGGTCTGGGTTGTTAAAAGAGCTTCAATGTCTGTTGCAGGGTTAGTTCTGGTGTGGGAAACATCTGAGACCCAGAACTCAGTAATGTGCTGTTGTTGCCTCATTAGTTTTTTAATTTTTTTTTAATGTCTGGTCAGCACTCAATTGTTACCTTCAATAAAATGACACTTTGATGACTCCATGACTGTCACCTGAAAGTTTAATGGAAAGAACCTGACACGCCCTCAGAATATTTTGTTGTATGATTTTCGTCGATGCAATGCTAAACCAAGTCGCATTCACAGCTGAATTAGATAGTCAAGTATAATTGGAGACTGGCTGTGTCTTGCTACGAACAAGTGCACAGGTACATCAGCACGACTCAACAACAACACAACCCTTGTTTATGCAGAAATAAATTGAATTATGAATTTCTGATGTCTGAAAGTGTCAGGACTGTTAGTGTTGTTTACACATTTAAAAAAACACAAAACATTCCCTGACCCAGAGGTCTCAGGAGACGGGCAGCATCCTCCCTCTCAACAGCGTGAAGAAATGTTCTAGTCTGACACTCGCACAGTTTTTGTAAGCATCCTGGGTGAAACAATAGGGCACATGACAGATTAATTACTTGCTGATGGTCATGGATTCAATTACAGTGCTTTTCTGCCTCAGAGACACTTTAGCAAAGAAAATGGAGCTTTTGTTGTCCTGTCACGATTCAGTTGGAGTTTGTGCTGAGGATTGGTCTTAAATGCAAACGGTTTGGGGATGTTGCTATGGAAATCGATGATGTTTTATAACACGCAATTGCGACTTTATATCTTGCAATTGTGACTTTAAATCTCGTAATTCTGACTTTATATCTCGCAATTGTGACTTTATATCTCGCAATTGTGACTTTATATCTCGCGATTCTGACTTTATATCTCGCAATTGTGACTTTATATCTCGCGATTCTGACTTTATATCTCGCAATTCTGACTTTATATCTCGCAATTCTCACTTTGTATCTCGCAATTCTGACTTTATAGCACGCAATTCTGACTTTATAACACGCAAATGCGACTTTATATATT